TTAGGATTTAATTTTCAGCCTATTTCCTTTTTTGTCAGCTTGTCCCACTCCATAATCCCTGTTCAAGCCTTTTTTCTAGTTATAAAGAGTTCAGTGATGGCTGTGGCCATTTGGTTTTAAGTGGAAACTGTCTTTTTAAATTTTGAGGAGATCTGTGCGCATGCGTAGTAGAATCCTCCGAGGGTGGGGCTGGGGAGCCCACTCACTCAGGCACCCCTATAGTCACCAGAATGGAGGTGCTCAGACAGCAAGGGACCAATGAACAGACACCAAAAGAAAAGAATGTCCACACCCCTATCTCTGTGGTTCTGCCAGGCATCTGTGGCCGCTCCGATCCTTCCTCTGGTTGGTCTCACCCAAGATGGCAGCCCCTGGAGCAGCTGAGCGTCCCAAACCAGAAAGCAATGGACTTCTTGCTTCTGCCACAAATTCCCCCAGTTGTAAACCTTCCAACCTTATAAATATTCCTTTATATGTGGTTCAGAGTTCTGGGAGCATCCCTTGAGCCTGCTTGGTTGGGTATTCTATGTTGTTGCTGACGGAGCTCCTCGCTGCATATCCACCCGATCCACCATCTTGTTTGTTCTTCCTTTCATCTTTTATTTTGATTCTTATATCCACCCTACAAATAAGTAAAATGAGTTTTTTTTTTTTTTTTAACTTTTTCTTGTGAATTGAGTAAAGGTTTGCAGAGGGATCATCAGTTTTACATTCAGCAAATCACATAAGGACATGTATTATTATTTTTATATGTGCATTTCAGTTACATTTCCAATCACACAGCTAGAAAGTAACCAGCAGATCCTAGATGCTTACCTAGGTCTTTTGAACTCTTAAGCCCCAGGCACTCTCTCTGTCTCTTAGAAAGCTTTATGAGTTGTTACAAAGGAGTCCTGGTGGTGTGATGGGTTACATGTTGGGCTGCTAACTGAAAGGTCAGCAGTTCAAATTCACCAGTCACTCTGAAGGAGAAAGATGAAGCTTTCTGATCTGGAAAAGATTTACAGCTTCGAAAACCCTACATAGGGTCAGAATCAACTTGATGGCAGTGGGTTTTTTAAGCAGGGAATGGAGTCCTGGTGTAGCACTATAGGATAAGCAAGGCTGGTGGATCAAATCCACCAACTGCTCCTCAGAAACCCTATACAGGATTGCTATGAGTCAGAACCTTCTTAACAAGAAGAAGAAAAGCAGGAAAAAGGAACCGTGCTATGGTGCAGTGGTTAAAGGCTTGGCTGCTAACCCCAAAGTGAGCAGTTTGAACCTTCCAGTCCCTCTGGTAGTCAGCTCCCTAAAGATTACGGCCTCGGAAACTCCATGGAAGAGTTCCACTCTGCCCTCTCAGGCCACTGCAAGTCAGAATTGACTTGATGGCAACAGGTTTAAGCAGGGACACTCTGGCCCACCTACTATTCCCCTAGTTTAGAAACAACCTTGAGAAGTTTGCTCAGCTTCAGGGGCCCACAGAGAGCCCCCATCTGCCTCCCTGATGCAGCTCCACACCCTCAGGCTCTGCCAGAGGCACTGGGACCCAGAACTTGCACATTGCCCTGATAAGCTTCTTAGAGGAGGCAGGTATTAGCTGGGATTGGATATTTTTCCCCTGATATGCCCTTCACACCTGACCCTGCTGTGAATAGGATTCATTTCTCACCGGGGAGGGGGGTGGCTAAGAGAATGGGGTATTACCGGCTGGCCAATTTCAGACTCACTTTTTGAGACTCTGAATTCTGATGAGTTTCCAGAACTGAGAAGAGCCCCCAGATGTTGAAGTTTGAAGGTAAATTGTGTGATTAAGTAGGAGGGTCAGCTGGGGTGCCAGCTCAGCTCTACCCAACAGAGAGGGACCCTTTAAAGTGACTTTAGGAGATTCAGGTGGGCTTAGCACAAAATGTTGTATTCACGGCAGGGAGCAGGGTGGCTGTAGGGAGCCGGTTGTTGTTGTTGTTGTTGTTGTTGTTAGGTGCCATCGAGTCGGTTCTAATTCATAGCAACCCTATGCACAACAGAATGAAACACTGCCCATCCTGGGCCAACCTCACAATTGTTGCCACACTTGAGCTCATTAATGTTGCCTTTTTGCCAGTGCATCTCACTGGAATCAAGGATAAAAAGGAAGTTCACTTACTCCTTACTTCTGCTAGCCTTCGTTTGCTTTTTACAACAATTACATTGCATCTCTAACTAGTATGGTTTGCTGGAAAGCCTGAGGTGTCATCTGCTCTGCTACTCACTAGCTGTGTGACTTTGAACAAATTTCTTCTCTTTGGACCTCAGTTTTCCTCATGTTTCAAATGAGGAGTTGCACTAGGCAGTGTCTGCAATTCTCTCTACGTTTAATGTTTAACACTAAGATTCTTTGAGTTACTCAGCTCACTTCAAATACATTGTTATCATATGTAAAATCAAACGTTTCTGGTTTTATTTCTGTAAGTCTGTGAACACTCATTAGAGTTGTATCAAATATTTGGATGCATTAGACTTCATGTCCTTCTATACATTGTTGTTGTTGTTGTTAAGTGCCATCTGTTGTTTGTTGTTGTTATGTGGTGTGGAGTCGGTTCCGACTCATAATGACCCTGTACAGGGTTTCCGAGGCTGTAAATCTTTATGGGAGCAGAAACCCTCATCTTTCTCCCGTGGAACAGCTGGTAGTTTTGAACTGATGACTCTAGGTTAGCAGCCCGATTCATAACCACTATGCTGTCAAAGCTCCTTTTCTATACATTAAGGGTTTTTAAAAATATTTATACATATAATTTTTGAGGACCTTTAATGTTCTTCCCTCTTACACCCTAACCATTGCATAGCACTTGGTTCTGTAGATGTATTACTTTGTGTAATCAACATATATGTTATCATGGTCAGGTTCCGCCTGTCCAGGGTAGCACAGCTGGTAAACAGCACAACTAGGAATCCAGGCCTTTGAGTCCATACTGCCATTCCTCCCACCATACCACACTGTCTGGGAGACTCCACGATATTCATCTTCAAGCTTTGGCCTCTTTGGTTGATATAGTGGAATCATTTTACAGCTGTCTAGAAACAAACAGAGAAACACAAACAAACAAGTGGAACCTTAATTTTCCTTGCAATGTGAATGCATCCTGCATCTTCTTTGGTTCTAAACTTTAAAATCATAGCTTCCTCCCACCTTCCTACCTTTGACTAGGTGAGATTTGTGGCCTGGGGCACCAATTATAGAAGACTGAGCTTCAAAATTTCAGGACTGGAGCCTAAAGTATGCTAACAGACATTTTTCAGGGATCCCAGGGAGAACTGGATGGACTCCACAGTGCACTCAAGAACTCAGGCTGCTAATGCCCACATAGAAAGGGTGAATAGCATACAGCACCCTCAAGTTCTTTTCTTCCCCAAGAGCAGGCATTACCTTCTAGAGCAGGGGGTAGAGTAACTTTGCTTCACCAGAAACCACTGCCCCCCACTGGGAAAAGCTTCTATAAGACACTTTTGTGTTCCTGAGCTTTCTTCTACTTTTTTTTTTTTTTTTTTTTTTTACAAATGAGGGTGTGATGGGTCCCAGCTCTCCTCTTAAGGTTAAATAACCTGTTTTGTTTTAAGGTTTGTGGATACCACATGACTGGGCTTCATGGTGAGATCTTCTCTAATCATGAACCCAAAGCCCAGAGCATCCCTCATGGACAAAACGAGAAGTCTTTTGTAACCAGACACAATTGGCCATCATGGGGAAATTAATCAGGATGTGGGTGCCAGAGAGACGGTTACTATGGCCAAAGAGGCTTCATTGGAGTTGCCTCCTCTTCTTATTGGGAATGTTGCTTACTGGCTCCACCTACCAGCATCTGAAGAGCCCCTGGGGTTTACCTCCACTGTGGGAAGCAGTCTCTTCCCAACATCCTGCAAAACTGGCCATTCAGGACCTCTTCAATGTTGAGATGATCATGGTGAGCAGTGACCCTCCAAAAACTAGCTTTAAACTGAAGGGTGAGGTGCTGGTACCTCAAGCCATGATGAGCAGGGAGAAAACACCAACTGGCATAATCATGGAGAACACCCACCATTCACCCCGAAGAGCAGCCAACACCACTCCAACAATCCTCCAAAAGAACTACAGCCCTACAGTAACAGGGACAGAAAGAGTGAAGGAACACACTTCAACTACAGATTCAACTGTGTTGAATCATTACATCCTAACTTCAAACAGACAAACGGTAAAGGGTTATAGCCCAATAACATCCAGAGGAGAAATGAAGAGCTACAAACCAACTCAAGTCAGGAAAAAGGTGAAAAAATATATTCCATCCCCACCTGATACAACAGTAGACAGTTATCCTTCATTCATACCCATGACACTGAAAGAAAGTCATGTGACCACTCCTAGACCGACAGTGAAAGATAGTGAAACTATGGCAACCTACAAAACAGTGGCAATCAATACTCTCAAGAGAACAGTAGAGGAAAATATTTCAATTACTCTCAAGGGAGTAGATGCCAACACTCCAGTTTTCCTGACAAATGAAGTAAAAATGAACATCTTGACTTCTCCAAGGAGTAGAGTAGAAAAGAACTCCCTGACTACGCCCAGAAGAATGGGAAATAACAGCTCAACCAAATTCTGGGGGTTAGTGGGAAAGAACACCCCAACAGTTCCCCAGAGAGTAGTCCTGCAGCCTACAGTCACCTCTGAGGGGCAAGTGACCATAAACATCAGGTCAGCCAGCAGTCCAGCAGAAATCAAATCGTCTATTGCCTCTTGGAGTATTAGGAATCCCTCACCCAGAACGAATATACCATCCAGTGGAATAGCCTCCACCACTTTCCGAGGACAGGTTAGGAGAGCTTCCTCAGCACTCAGCACCTCAGTGACCCCCAGGGTCAGGGTAAATCCGACCACCCAGATCCGTCCCTGTATGACTGTGGAGCCAGAGCTAGCTGTGTCCACCACCCCCTTCCCCTTCCCTACAATAGAGGAGTTCAGTCTCAGTCCCTCAGTGCTGCCCCCTAGTGAGCCAGACCTCCACCCCAAGGCAGAGTACCCCTCAGACCTATTCAGCGTGCAAGAGTGGCGCCAGGGCTGGGTGGTCTTGCATGTCTTTGGCGTGATGTATGTGTTTGTGGCCTTGGCCATCGTGTGTGATGAATACTTTGTCCCAGCCCTGGATATCATCACAGCGAAGCTGCAAATCTCTGAGGATGTGGCAGGCGCCACGTTCACGGCTGCTGGGGGCTCTGCCCCTGAGCTGTTCACCTCCCTCATCGGCGTCTTCATCTCCCACAGCAACGTGGGCATCGGGACCATCGTGGGATCCATGGTGTTCAACATCCTCTTTGTCATTGGCACCTGTGCCCTCTTCTCCCGGGAGATTCTCAGTCTCACCTGGTGGCCCTTGTTCCGTGATGTCTCCTTCTACATCGTTGACCTGATGATGCTCATCCTCTTCTTCCTAGACAGCCTCATTGCTTGGTGGGAGAGTCTGCTGCTGCTGCTGGCTTATGCCCTTTATGTATTCACCATGAAATGGAACAAGCAGATCGAGCTCTGGGTGAAGGAACAGCTCAACCAGAGGCCTATGGTCAAGGTCATGGCTCTGGGAGACCTCAGCAAGGTAAGAACAGGCTGGCCAGGCTTCTCTGGCCCCTCTGAAGTGAACAAGGATGAGGGGGAGCCAGATTTGAAGAATAGAAAGTTCTGGGTCAGACTTCAAGAGAGAGTGTTTCTGGTTCTGTTATTCATTCAACATTTACAGAGTACCTATTTTCTGCCAGGCCTGATCCTGGGGTCTTTGCAAGTGTGACCTTGGTTCAACCCAGTCACTCTATAAAATGGTTATTATTATGACCCCCTATTTGTAAGGGAGGAAACAGAAGCCCAACCCACTCATTCAAGGCCACACAGGAAATAGGTGGTCGCAGCAAGATTTGAAGCAGGGTTATTCTGACTGGATCCTTGGAAATGGCATTTGAGGTGGGCTTTGGAGACTGTCCAAGGAGGTACTGGGCAGGGGAAAAATGCTAATCTCCTCCATGCACATGGTGTCTAGAGTTTATCTGGCACCCTCATTGTTATTTAATCCTGTTTGTTCACATTCCAAGCTGTGGGTGCCTTGGATTGGGTTTAAGAAGAAAGAGGGATTTTTAATTGTTTTAATGTTGGAGAATATAGGATTTCTACTTATTCACTGGAGTCCTGGTATGATACTGTAGGACAAGCGCTAGACTACAAATCACAAGGTTGGTGGTTCAAACTCACCTTGGAAACCCTATATGGGGTTGCTATGAGTTGGAGCCGATTCGATGGCATGTAACAACAACAACTCATTCATTGGCAGGCCAGCCCTAGATGCAGAGCTCCCTCTCTGTGTTGACCAGAGACCAAATGCCAGGACTTCCAATCCAGCCCAGAAGTTTCTTCCCATGAATCTCTCTGCCCATATCCCCCACCCTCACCCTCTTACTCTGGCTGGGACTTTCATGCTAAATTCATTGGATGATTCAATAACCTGTAAAATGAAATTAAGTGATCTCTGAGAAAATTTCAGCCCAAAGTTTCTTATTCCTTGAGGAGACTCCAAGGTGAGGGTAACTTGAGAGCATGACCCCATTTCTCTCCTGCTTTTAGAGGGTGAGTTTGCCGGGAAGGATTGGTTCAAAGCCTGCACATTTTAGGTCTCAGAGAAGACACTGGTGTGAGCAGAATTTTACGTGCAAAGAGAGGAAGGTCATAACTTCTTAACCCAGAGTAGGTTTGACGAGTGGATAGGATGGAGCCTGAACTCGGCAACATGTCTGGGAGATACGTGCTGCAAACAAAACAGAACAAAAACAGCCCATTGCCTTTAACTAGGCTCTGACTCATCGTAACTCTACAGGATCGAGTAGAACTACTCCTAGGGTTTCTTCATGAAAGCGACTGTCTCATCTTTTTCCTGTGAGAACCTAGAGGCTTGAACGCCTGATTAAGTGTAGTGCTTAATACACTGTATCACCAGGGCTCCTTATGTGATACAAGGGAGATGAAATGTACTTCCTTTCAAGTTTTTGAATTGAGCGTAAAGAAACCTGGTTTCTAATCTCATTCTGAAAGAAGCTCTGGTGGCACAGTGGGTTAAGTGTTGGGTTGCTAACCAAAAGGTTGATAGTTTGAACCCACCTGCTGCCTCAGGGGAGAAAGATATGGTAGCTGTGTCTGTAAAGACTTACAACCTTGGAAACCCAATGGGACAGTTCGACTCTGTCCTTTAGGATCACTGTGAGTCAGACTGGACTCAGTGGTTGTGGGTTCAATCTCGTTCTGCCTCTAATTAGCTGTGTAACCTTGGACACAGGTCCCTTCCTTTCTCTGGGGAAATGACAGAGTCCAACTAATTAATGTCTTGTCCAGCTTAACATTCTATGATAATGTCCTATGTCCAACTGTTTAGCTGTGATAGGACCAGCACAAAGATGGTCAGGTATGGTCAACAAAGCTTCAATTTCCTTCTCTGCACATGGCTCAGAAAGGGAACCGTCTTGTCCAGGTTGATACAGCCTGCAGATAACAGAATTGGAAGGGGAACCCAGCCTCCTAACTCCCTATTCAGTGCTATTTCCCACCAGACCACTGGTCCGGGAAACCATAAGCTTAAAAAAGAAAGGAAGGCTCAGAGCATTGCATCATTTAATATCAGGAAACAGGAGCCTCCCCTCCTAATGGAGTAGTCAGGACAGGCCTTGTGGGAAAGTGCTTATGGACGCTTGGCACAGTCCTCTGAGAAATGCATCAATGCCTTGATGTCAGCACTTTCAAAATACCTCTCTCACTTACCTCCTGCTTCTAATATTCATAGCTCTACCACTGTTATTTAAATTCTACAAATTCTGAATTTTCAATTTTGTCAGAGCTGGACCCTCAAAACAAAACTTGCCAAGTAAATGAAGCATCGAGAATTTGTAACCTACTTACAAGACTCTTGAAGGACTTTATAAGGAGCACTGGTGATGCAGTGTTTAAGTGCTAGACTGCTAAGCTGAAGGTCAGTGGTTTGAACCCACCAGCCACACCATAGGAAAAAAATGTGGCAGTCTGTTTCTGTAAAGATTACAACCTAGGGAACCCTCTGGGGCCATTCTACTCGGTCTTATAGGTAAGAACTCTGCCATTGGTTTGCTGAAACAGAGTCAGTAAGACTTTTGATTGACAGCAACATTTTAAAAAAAAGCAGATGGACTTACTGGTTATATTGAAAGTAAATTTACATTTATTTGAAATTCAGACCTAACCACTAACAACTGCCTTCTAAAAATTAGTCCAAAAAACCTCAAGAGCTATAGTTATTTTGAATAATTTTGAAAAATGAGGGTTTGGAGTTTTATTCTCTTGTAGCAGCAGAGAGAATATTTTCATGTTTGCGTTTGGCTGGTCAAGACTATGGTCTTGTTCTTGTTGTTATGTGCCATCAAGTCAGAGCTGACTCATAGTTTCCGAAGAGTGGCTGGTAGGTTTGAACTGCTGACGTTGTGGCTAGCAGTCCAGTGTTTATCCTATAGTGCCACACAAGGACTCAAGATCTGGCTGGGAAATAAAATGATTCACTGACAGACAAGGACAAATAATACTGATTTCATGAAACCGTCTCTGAAGATCTGTGATCTAGCAAACTGTTGGCATTCATTTTTTGATTTCATAATAGTCTGTACTCACCCTTACAAATGATTTAACTATGACAATGAAGTTCGTCGCTCCTACTTCAGACATATTGTCAGGAAGGACCAATCACTGGGGAAGGATATCGTGTTTGGTAAGGTGGAGGGCCAGAGAAAAAGAGGAAGACCCCAGTGAGATGCATTGGCAAAGTGGCAGCATCAGTGGGCTGAAATGTGGCAACAGTAGTGAGGTTGGCCCAGGATCGGGCAGTGTTTGGTTCTGCTGTGCATAAGGTCACTATAAGTTGGTACTGACTCGATGGCACCTAACAACAACAACAACATGACAATGAACACACCTTGCTCAGCGCACTCACTCCAGTGTGAATGGGCACATTTATTGGCTCACACCCCTCTCTACCTAACGGGCCCCTTTTTTCCAGAATCACCTCAGAAGGTATAAACCCAGGGAAACTGGACTGACTCACATGGCTCCAAAGATGAGAAAGTCAGACAGAAGAGAAGTGGGCAGACCAAGTGGTTGGAAACCAAGAAAGAGGGCTGGAGAGGTCAGAGACACAGCTACTCAGGAAGTCTAAGTAGGAGAAGAGAGGTGGGGGCGGTGTAAGCCAACAGGAAAGACACCTGGGCCTCCTCTTTCCTCTGTTCCCAAGCTGGGGTGAGTTGTGGGAGGCCTGGCCCCAATACCAGGTGCATCATTGGCAGCAAATGTGGAAATGATTACTAGGGTCTTATCCCAAGCAGGAATACAGAAGTACAACTTGTTTTGCTTAACATCCGCTCAGGCAATGTCTGACCACATAAAAGGGCACTTCACAATGTTCGTGGAAAAATTCCATTATCTTTAGATTCCATTTCTCCTCGAACATTTTGAAGCCCCCTTGTATATATTCATGGCCCCATTTATGTATGGTGGTGGTGGTGGTAGTGTGCCATGGAGTCAGTTCCAATTCATAGAGACGCTGAATAGGGTTTCTGAGACTTCAAATCTTTACGGGAACAGAAAGCCTAGCTTTCTTTCACAGAATGGCTGGTAGTTTCAGACTGCTGACTTTGAGGTTACCAGCCCAATTTGTAACCGCTATGCTACCAGAGCTCCTCACATATGTACATGGTGGTGGTGGTGGTGTTCTGTGGAGTCGGTTCCAACTCATAGTGGATCCTGTATAGGGTTTCCGAGGCTGTAAATTTTTTTTTTCAATGTTTTATTGTGAATTATATGATAGTTTACATGGGAGGACTTTAGTTTTACATTCATTTCATCGTATATCATCTCATTGCCATGGTTCCAATCCCCTCCATGCATCAACCACCCAAAGGGTATATCCCTGAAACCCGCCCCCTACACTTCCTCCTCCTCCCCCCAGTTTTCGGCCCACAGTCCCTTTCCCTCTCTGGGTCCAAAGTCCCCAGTCGCTTCACTCCCCGTCATCATCTCTGTCTCTCTCAGACATCTCTGTTTCTCTGGGTAGGGTCCTGCTCTCGGCTCTTCTCCGTTGATGGTCCCAGAGGCCTCTGCTCCTATCCTGGAGAATTAATCACTCCCTTCCTTGTTACAAAACTTCCACCTTTGCATTTCCAACCCTCATAGTCCATCCTGATAAGCATTATTCCCTACAGTATCACGAGTTACCCATCTGTATCTCCTTTCATCCACTCCGCCCAGACAGATTGAATAGTACCTACTGGAGGTTCTGCCTTCCCCCATGCTCCCTAGCACCAGGTTCCCTCTTGAAAGCTTGTAAACCAGTCACTTCTTGCCTTTGTAGTCCTGCCCCCCGCCCCATTTGAGTATCCACTGTCCAAGCCGCCCTACTCTGTGTGTGGGGGTATGTGTGAATGTTTCTTGCTGTGAGGATTTGTTCCCTCTTTTGAGTTGCTGCTCCATAGGTATAGGTCAAGTTCATCAGACTGTATCAGCTCACTCTTTTTTTATTTTCCCCCTCTTCTTTCCTCTCCTGGTTGAGCTCCGATCATCCAGTCATCCGGTCCAGGTCACGTGGGTATCATCTGCAAGTGTGGGCGCTCCCTGTGCATATGTCCTCTCTTCCCGTCAGCCAGTAGCTCCATTCTCCTCTCGAGTCCTCCGTGGCCACTCCACTGACTCTGGGCCCAAGAGTCCCCAGGCGAGGCTGTAAATCTTTATGGGAATATATATATATATATACACACATATATGTAGCATTGTTGTTGTTGTTAGGTGCCATCAAGTTGGCACCAACTCATAGCGACCTTATGCACAGCAGAACTAAACAATGTCCAATCCTGGGCCAACTTCACTACTGTTGCCACACTTGAGTCCATCGATGCTGCCACTTGGCCAATCCATCTCATTGGGGGTCTTCCTCTTTTTGTCTCACCCTCCATTTTACCAAACATGATATCCTTCTCCAGCGACTGTTCCCTCCTGA